AGGCTGCGCCTGCCCCATGGCCCCTGCCAGCCTGGCCCCAGTTGTGTCCCTGCCCCTCATTCCTGCCTCCACCTCGTTGGCATTCAGGACCTCCGCCAGGACTAGCACAGCCCAGCAGCAGCCTGGAAGGGTCTGCCCTCCTCATCTTGCTCGCATGAAGTCATTGGCACCTACTCCTCCAAGGGAATGCAGTGAGCTTATGTGCCACATTTGGTTTGCTTTTAAAAAGGGAAAAAAAGCTCTCTCCAAGGATGAAGCTGAGGCCACTACGTTCACTTCACTTGTAGAATGCCTGTGAAGTCTGGGTTCCTGATGGTGACCGGTTAACACATTACCTCAGAGGCCCCAAGGAAGAAGCCATGAGCCAGGACCGCATTCGCGTGTATGTTCACGTGTGGGGATGCACATGTGTGTGAGGCCTGGCGTAATGAGCTGCTGGGTTCGACCTCTCTGACTGTGTGGGCAGCAGCAGCGGTGAGGGGCAGAGCTCCTCATCTGCAGCCCTCAGTCCCTGAGGCAGCACGAGGACTCGGAGGTTGTTGTGCTGCCTGCGCGAGGAGCCGCCTCTGGCTGGCCAGGCTGGAGGAGGTGTGTGGGGGCAGCCCCGGTGGAGCTGCTCTGCAGGAAGGATGAAGTCATCCCTGTGCTGACAGCCCTCTTTTCCTGCGGCTGACGGGTTGCAAGATGCAACCCTTAAATAAAGCTCCCATGTCACCTATGGGCTTATCCCCTGTGGCTGAGCGCTGGCTCGGGAGGGCCCCACAAACTGCAGTAAGCTTGGGACACTGCTGCCGAGAAGAAGGGCTTCCTAGGATCTCATGCCCAGCAACCTTTTTGTCTCTATCTCCCTGCTGTTCCCTAAAGTGGCATTCAAACCCCTAGACACCATAGCTGGGACAGGGGTTGTGTGCTCCTTAGCGCTCTCCTCAGCGACAGAGCCAGGCTTTGCACAACTGGTGGCACGGCCTGGCCAGAAGGGCTGAGCTCGTGCTGCGCTGCCTGCGCTGTGACTCAGCCTCACTGCCCGCTCGCTGCTCCTGCTCGGGACGGGACGCTGTCGTGTGGCCTGCAGCCAGGCTCCACAACCCCCTGGAAGGGCCTGGTAGTGCTCAGCTTCTCCAGGTAGCCCTGCTGAAACCTTTTGCAAGAGGGTAAATGGGGTCTGGCCCACAGTGTAGAGTGTGTCTTAAGCGAGAGGTGCCTAATGTTAGGCTGTGTCACAGCCAGCGACAGATTTGTAGGTGACGCCGGGAAAGGCTTCCCACCTGCTTGTAGTACATACACATCTACTGTAAAATAGAGCCCGTGAGGCAGGAGGCTGTTCCTGGGGATCTGGACCTTTCTGGTGGCAAGATCTCTTGGGTGGAGGGACTCCTCATGTCCTGCTGTGGCACTAGGAAACTGCTTTCTGCTCAGGGAGCACGTCCTGCTGTGTCCAGAGCAGTCCAAGTGGTTCTGCTTCAGTTCTGGTTCTGACTGATTCACTGCCCTTCTGCAGTGGCCTCAGGGGATTTGGGAGCTGGTGTTAGGGCAGCACTCTCATGTTGCATTGTGCATGCTTGGGTGGCTATTCTGTAGAAAGTAAAGTGACTCTGAGGAGATGGTGAAAGTCCCTAAACTGGCCTGCTAAATCTCATGGTATAAGAAAAGTAGACCAACAGTAGAGGATAAGGATGACTGCTTCTGTCTGCGATCCAAGCAATCCCACGCATCTCTCATGGTGGGGTTGGGCTCCATTAGCAATAAGGTAATGTAGAGTTCATCCTGGACCTCCTCTCCACGCCTGGCCATGGCTCCTGGACTTCCTTCCTCCTGCCGCTCCTGCTCACGCCCGCAGCCCGTGTCCCAGGGGAGCCCTTCTCTGTGAGTCAGCCACCCTCTTAACTCTTGCCTCCCAGCCGGGCCACGGTCAGCTATTGGCGTCTGACACAGCCGATGCCGACGGTGACAACATTTTGCTGTGCCTTGCATCCTTCTGCCCTCATTGTCATGAGGAGGCAATAGGGTTCTATGCCTGCCTACACAGGGAAAGTCATGCTGATACTGCCAGCAGCTGAAGAAGGCCACAGAACAGGTTTCTGCTGCCTTTGGAGACAGTTCAAGGGGGAAAGGTATGGGGGAGGCGTCTGGAAGGCATTGAGTAAAGTCACCTTAGAAGCCCTTACCACTTGCTGAAGGCAGGGAGGGAGCTATTGGACCCTGCCTGGAGGGACCTGGCCTGGGTGAATGTGAAGGACTGAGAAAGAGCCTCAACAAACATTGTTAGGGTATCACCAGCAGCCTTCTGTGGCCCAGGTCAGGAGGAGGCCAGCGTAACATGGTAGGACCCCTTGATCACTCAGAGGGTCAAAGCAAGACTCATGGGGCTGCATACCACCCCTCCAGGTCTTTCTCAGAAAGGAAGTGGACGTGGAGGAAGAGAAGCAGGAGACCAGGAGCCCCCACACTGGTGGTTTCTGCTCACCGGTGGACCGAGGCTCCCCCTTTCATGCGGTATGTGCTCCCGTTTCTAGCGGCCTTCATGAGGGGTACAATCTGCCTGGGTTTGGCGCTGAGCAGAGGAGGGCCATGAGTAAGCTGGCAAAGCTAGGGTGAACAGCCAGAGTGGTGAGATACACCGGCTGTGGGCTGGTGGTGCGCCTGGGAGCAGGGATGGATGTAGCCTCTCCAGGTTAAACCAGCCAGGGGGCAAGGTGGGCACTGTGAGGCACTGCAGCACAGTAGTTGGGGTTAGTACATATGCCAGCACCTGTGGCTGAGTGGTTTTATTGCTTCCAAGGGGGCCAAATTAAAGTTTTTTCCAGCACTGGCCAATGTCAAGATACTGAAGATGCTGAAGTCATAGAAAGGTCTGCAAATCTGTTTTTCAACCAAAAAAAATGGGGGGGGGTGGGGGCGGGGGGAAAGGATGTCTCTACTTCTTGTGGTTAGACAGAAAGGCTTTGAAAAGTGACTCCCATGTCATCAGCAGGGCAACACGTGCCAGAGTGGTTAGAGAGCCTGAAACAGTTGCCTGAAACCTGCTGCTCCCCAGGCTCCCTGGAGATCCCACCCTGGCAGGCTGCTGGGTACAGCTGGGACCCCCGGCAGGGCAGATCACAGCCGAGCCCGCCAGCTGAGCACACCAGCAGCGCCCGCCCTCAGGAGTGGGCTGTTTTCCAGTGCCGATGAAGGGAGCAGTTGCTGTCTGATGAGAAGAGGCAGCATCAGAGTCCTGCACCTCCCCATTTGGCTGGCCATGGGGTTGGACTTGGGAGAGGTTTTCTCCAGCAAAATGCTCCAGTGCTCAAACTGCTGTTTACCTTAACTTAGCATTGTCCGTCATGTGCTCAATGGCTTGGCCTCACTTAATGTGGGATGCAGAAAATGTGACTGCTGAGGCCCAGGGGAAAGCATAGAGCCACCTGGCCGGGTCTTGGGTTGACCTTGCATAAAACTCAAGCGCAGCCCCTGGTCAGGGTGTTCCTCTGCTTTGAAAGTGGTGCTTTGAGCACCCCAGGGGCAGCTCTGTCCTCAGGTAGCAGTGGGGCCCGGGGTCCTCCATTATGCTGGGAACTGACTGCCTCTGAGGCTGTGCCTTCCCCAAGGGTTTCTACAGCTAGGCCCGGGGCTGAGCTTGGCCCAAGACCAACTCTTTTGCTGTCTGACCTTCACTGTGGCCCCCGATGGGGCTGGAGCCCTGACAGAGCATTTCGTCAGCGCGGCTGCCTGCAAAACCAAAGCCCAAGGGAAATGCCATGCTTCTACCCCCGCCACAACTCACTGGGAAGGAGATGCCCCTGAAGGGCTGCAGGCTGAGCTCATCGAGAATAGCGACTGCCCTGGCACCGAGTAGGCAACGGCAGGAGACAGCCAGAAAATCACCCTTTGTTTCTGCAGCTCTTCTGCCCCATTGCTCAGGATGGGACAGAGGGATGGGAGGGATGTCCTGAGAAAGGCTGTCCGCAGCACATGGCAGGGGAATGGGCAGGGGCTACGGAGCCAGGGACCTCCTGAGGAGCTCCCTGCCCCACTGGTGACTGTATTTTAGGAGGGATGTTCACAAAGAGAAAAGCAAGTAGTATTTTGAGACAGCTCTGTGACAAAGACCCTTGCTATTCCTGGAGAAACCCATCCAAGCATGGCCCATGCTCTAGGTCTGCCCTGTGGCACTCAGTCCCATGGCCTGGATCTGTCCCTGCCCCTCGCTGCAGCTCCAGCAAGGTCTTTCACGCAGCAGTGGCTGGGCAGCTGCCTGCCAGCTCTGCTCCCTTTGCCCTCAAAAGCAGCAGCACAGCCCTCCCAGGTTGTTTCATCCCCTTCGGGGCTCCATGGGGAGCCCTGGAGTGATGCAGGGGCCCTGCCAGAGCAAACATCACAGATGCATATGCTTCCCGCAGAAATGCACAGCTTCAGGCTGGAAGGGCAGCAAACGCTGCGCCTGCAGTGCTGGGGCAAGCCCAGGCATTAGATGCCAGCCTGTCAGCTAGGAGTGACCTGGGAATGAAGAACAGCCTGGTAACCCCCCTGCCAGGGCTGCCAGCGCAGCTTCCGCAAAGGGAAATTGTGCCTCAGGACGCTGTGAGAACGCTCCAAATATGTCAGTGAAGCAACAGGACCGGGGATGAGGGAGGCTGACATAATTTATTTGGGCTTCCAAAACGCCACTGACAAGCTCTCTCCAGAGAGGCTCTTGGAGAGCTCCCTGGGGAGGCACGCTGACTCTTCCCCCTCTGCCCACCCCAGCTCGCAGGAGGCCCTGCAACAGCCCCGCTGAGAGAAAGCCCCAAGAGCAAGGAGCCCAACATAGCCGCTGCGCCGAAAAGCGGCGGGCGAAGCAGCGCGGGCCCCACCAGCCTCCTCAACCTGAGCCCCTTGATAGCGCAGTTCAACCGGGAGATGCTGCAGGTGAG